TAAATTCAAACAGAAGTGGTGTGTCTCCGTGTGTTTCGCTCTGGTGTCGTGTCGTGTGTGGCGTGTCGTCGTCGTGAAATGGTGTGTAACATATTTGTGTATTTTTGTTGTTTTTGTGTTGTTGTTGTTGATGTTGTTGTCGATGTTGTTTTGTTTATCTTTCTGATGGGTTGTTGGAAAGATGACTTATTGTAAAGAACGGACATGCATACACACGCATACGCACACACACAAACAAACAATACCAAAATAATTCAATAATAATTCAATTCAATAATAATGAGTTTATTCAGCAAAAAGCTAGGAGACCCGAGAAACAATGGCTCGCACACTACAAACAAACACATAAAATCTCATATAAGCATACACCCACACAAACACACAAGCACACACACACACACACACACACACACAATCAGCACAAATAAATTAACAATAAACAAAAAATTATTTATTGCTTGGCCACAAAGATATCGTTATTATGATTTGTGATATCAAAAGATTCATTCATTCACTTGAATGATTGATTGATCGACAAAACGGTGATAGTTGTAGTTGTCGTCGTCATCATTATCATTATCATCATCAACTTCATCATCATCATTGTCTTCTTATCAAATAAATCATCAATATGTATGTATATATATATATATATGTTTTATATATATATATATACATAGGAGATTTTTCATATATATATATACGTAATTTATAGATTTATAATTATTAAATTTAGTATGAAATATATGGCATTTATGAAAGATTAGGTTATGGTGGTTGTACATATATACTCATGTGATGGTTGTAGATATGGGATTGATATTGGGTTTATTTATGAAAATGATGATGATGACAATGATGATGATGACAATGATGATGATAATGGTGATATGGGTGGTGTTGATGATGATGACGACGTCTATAGTAATTATTGTATGAAAGTTTTTAATGTTTGTTTGTATGTAGGTATATATGTGTGTGTATGTATGTATTTGAGTGTGTGTGTGTGTGTGTGTGTGAAGCCATAATTTTTTAATTTATCGTTTTAATGAGAGTTGCTGAATTGATTGCATCGTAAACCATGCGTCAGTTATTATTGTATTATTATCAATATTAATTAGCAGATACACAAGAATATAAATCATTTATAGATATATATATGTGTGTGTGTCTGTGTGTGTGTGTGTGTGTTGTGTGTGTAGTGTGTATGTGTGTGTAACACCAAACCAAGTGTAACATAATGCCATCATAATGATATGAACTTATATTATTTATTAATATA